TACGTATATTGTCCATTCTTGATCAGAAGGTTTCTACATAGGACAATTGAAGCCAATGTCAGTTCACACTACTATACTTCCATAAATGAAAAACATTGATAACATACTTACATTGAACATTTTATTCACTAGTAATGTAGTTCAAGGGAAGAAGAATTTCAACCAAATTACAGAATTGTATTTTGTTCTTATGTTTAGATGAGCGTCGAGGAACTGGTCGACAACAGCCACAATTCTCTTCTACCGCTGTGAACAATAACCACTTTCTTTAATTGTGGAGTCTACGATCATGGTGAATACACCAACATTTGTTCGTTGTTTCTCAATCTCATTTAATGACTAATTGTCGTTTAAGAGAAGAATGTCCATGTCTAAAATCAAGCATAGAGGAAACAAAAGTTACTAAGACGGAAACTTTATGGAAAGGCCACACTGCACTTTGCATTAATGAACATCACATGCAGTGTCCCAATTCGATGTTTACTCAATGCAAAAAACTTGAAATAAGACATTTACCTGAACATTTTTTCAAAGCACTCCAAGAGATATTTCACCGTGGAATAATTTCGACTTAGGCTAACTATTCTTCGTGCAACTACAGACTTTCACGTTCAAATGGCACGTTCTGAGTCTAAGACTATGGCCCAAGTTTCACGAACGTGTTGTATTCTGATTGGTCAGTGACTAGGTGTGTTGTAAACGTGTTGTGTTCTGATTGGTCATTTACTAGGTGTGTCGTCAATTGTACATTGTGAAATTTAGAATTTGCATGATTCATCACTTAGAAGTAATTAATCCCCATTGAGCGGTAAATGCATTTTAATACAATATAAATAAAAACGTATACTTCAGCTACAGCAAATAGCAAATCCCAAACATTTAAGTCTCCTTGGGGAACAACTACAGCTGAATCATGCAAATTCTAAAGGTCCACTGATGTCAAAAATGACTTGATAAACCCTCTAGATTGTTATCTTCATCTTATTTATTTATTGTATTTATTAACATTAACATTTGATCTCTTTTAATTAGCATTCTACAGGGTGTACATAAAAACGACGTTTGGCAATTAAACTACTGTAAAATTTCGAAACCCAATCACTGTGCTAACCTCACTAGTGCATTACATTTTCAATGGAGGAAAATCTTTTGTGCTTGCATCAACGTAGCTAACAATGTTCCATGCACCTGTGGGCTTGGCGTAGTGACAGACATTGAAATTATACAAAGGTTTTCAATGGTAAATGAAGGCTGACCAGCTAGTTTTGCACACATCAAAGGAATAAACCGGATAGAAAAACAATAATTACATTGTATTTTTTTATTTTATTATTCAACTATTTATCAGCCGGCATTATATGTTGTCCCTTTTAAAGAATTTTCAATCTCCATGCGACAATGTGAAAGTGTGTAAAATGAAAGACTACAGTCTTTGGTGTGAAAATGTGAAAATGCAAAGACTATAGTCAACGGCAATGTATGCAGTTAATTACTTTGATTACTTTGATATTATTTTTTTTAGTTTTAGTTTTATATGAGCCCGATAGCCGGGATTCAGCGAACGAACATGTAACATGTAACATGTTCTTACCCAAACTTTCGGCAGTTATTTCAGTAAACAGTAAAGATACAAACGATGGACAAAAAAGCAGTTAATATTGGAGGCAACAATTCGCCAAGAGAAACGACCTTGTGCAACGAAAATTTCCGCAATGCCATTCTGTAACGGTCGTTATTTCGTTAACGTCATTTCTGAGTTCTTGAACGACTTTTTCAAAGAGCTTAGCAAAAAATAATCATGTATTTAACGTAAAGATCTTTGATAAACCAGCAATTGTCAAACCTCTGGTAAAAAAACCACCATGTACAACAAAAACTTCGGCAATGCCATGTTTCTTCGTCATAATCTTTTCTGACTTCTTGAAAGACTTTTCCCGACAGCTTCGAAAAATGAATGAGGAATGAAGTATAAAGTTTGACTGAGGAAGAAGCAGCTGACATTTTAGGGTAAAACTGACATAAATTTTGTAAAAACGTAACTCTTCAACGGCCATTTTCGTTTTTTCGAGTTTGGAAACGACTTTTTGCAACAGCTTCAAAGAAAGAATCATGTATTCAACAGGTTTAACTTGTTGTGATGTTATAAAATATTGTGAAAATGGATTTGCAAGGCGGAAAGCGAATTCTTACTATAAATATAATTGCCCATCGTAAAACTTTTAATATGGCCATGGTATATAATTTTATCAAAAATAACGTTTCGTCTTTAGTTGAAGACATCTTCATATTACAATACATACATGTAGGAAGTAGTAAATCCTATTCTTAGAAATTTTGTATAATACTTACAATAACGACTGTATGCGTTACGCTTCTTCTCTGAAATAAAAAGGTTATATTACTCACTGTAATACTTTGAAACTTACAAATGAAATGTTTTACGTAATACTTACGATAAAGATTGTTTCAGCAAGAAATCTCTTTACACATAGCGCGGGAAAGGTCGGTAAAAAAGTCATATGACATATTGATCAAAATTGGTCACGTGTCAAGTCGTATAAACATTCACTAGCAAGAGCTGGGTGACGCGGGATGTGTAAATTGTCAAATCGTGCTGAGATAGCACAACATTTAATAGCATAGTATTTTTCGTGTGATGTATTTAATATACGATTGTTTTCATTTCAAGATAAATATTATGTTTTAACTTGTTAAAACCCAGTATGATGTACTATTATATAGTAGCAAATACTGACAAATTATATCTGTGTACAACACATACAATAAAGAGTCCTTGAAGTTGATGCATCAGGAAATTCTTCTACTTTGTAGACATATTATATTTATATATACTGAACTATATGTATGTTATATATATACAATAGAACTTATACAATTTCTATGCTCTGTTTTTTTGACAGACATCCTACAAGTTTTACCTTTTAACCATTATATGTAGAAGGAACAGTTTGTTTTGTCGTTGTCGTCGTTGAAACAGATGATACCGTTGAAGTTTGCCTGTAAAATATTTGCTGAAAGTTTAGAGAAAAATTGATAAACTATTCATGAAATAATAGGTAGTAGCATTTTGATTTTCTTTCTAAAACAAGCCAAAGTTTGAGTTCTTTGTGTTGTATTATTACGAAATAAAAGATTTTACTGTGTTTGCACGGGCTTATGCAAACCGAGGAGACCTTTGGGAGAACTCGAGAGCAGATCAGTGCAAGCCCGAAACCGAAGGTAGAGTGTTGCACATGCTCAAGAGTTCTCACAAACGTCTCCGAGGTTTGCATAAGCCAGTGCAAAAAATATCTTTTAAAAAATATCAATAATGCGAAATAGACAAATTTAAAACAAACGTTTTAATTTTTCCTCTAAAATGTATTCATGATTGATTTGCGAATTCTCTTTGATTGATTTGATTTGTTGAGCTCAGATCGGTTTGCACAAGCTAATGAAAACACAGCTATAGACCAATCAGCGCATGCGCTTGATTGCTTTATGTTCTTGTTTTGACTTTCAATTTTTTCTGTCTATTCTTGCCTTACAAACATTAACACTAAAAAATCGTTTAATATTCTGTATATTGAACAATAAATTACACTCAAACATGATCACGTGTTTACTCACATGAAAAGATCACGTGTTTACTCACATGAAAAGATCACGTGTTTACTCACATGAAAAGATCACGTGTTTACTCACATGAAAAAGATCACGTGTTTACTCACATGAAAAATCACGTGTTTAACATGAAAAGTATTTGAACAAAGAACTCTTGCAAGGATTTTCACCTAACTCTGGAACAGCACCCAGACTATAATTGATCAATTTTCTCAAGTAATTTTCCAATTGTTTTCGACGTGTTTCCACAAAATTGACGTCACGATTTCCAATAATTTTCTTCGCGGGAAACGTGAATTGTGCAACAGGTTTAAACTGCTTGCTTGTCTGTGCATAAAAAGGAAAAGGAAGGGATTGCACATTACGGCAAAGCAATATGATTAAAAAAATTAAAATAATGATGTTTATTAAAACCTTCTTATGTAGGGCATAAAAATCCGAGTATCTTTTGTAAACATTCCATTCATCGTCTTTGATACGGATATAAACCTTGTGAAGTAAACAATATTAAATTCTTTATTGACGACAATAAATGGACCACTGAGCAGATGATATACATATATATAGGAAGTTTATATTTGATGATTCTCCGTATAAAACAGTGCTCGATGCCCGAGAGCAGAGCGGAAATATGTTTAGTGTTGAGAAAAATCACAAAACTACAGATTCATCCCGACAAGCCTGTTTCGTGATTAAAGGAAAATCCCCTGAAGAGTGAGCAGTCACGAAACAGGCTTGTCGGGATGAATCTGTTGTTTTGTGATTTTTTCTCAACACCACTAAACATATACATATGAAAAGTGAAATATTTTAGCAGTAAATATAAACCACGACATGATCTTTTAAATACGATGACCACAAACACTTTTCTTAAGGGTGATATATTTGAAACGAGGAAAATACCAAATATCGATCATAAATCTTGAAATATAGTCCCTAGTTATCCCTAACCTAGTCCAGATAACCATCAACATCACATCGGAAGAGTTATTTACTTTTTTTAGAGATAAATATGTAGAAAAATTATACCTGATATGAATGGTGAATGTTTGGATACTTTCCTTGTACAAAAACAGATGCAATCCAAATGTTAATTAAAGGACGAGTATTGACAGACATGAAATTTGGACCAAACTCCGTCAAATATAAATATTCATCATGATTATTTTCTTGAGGAAGCTAGAACATACGAAGATACGAAGTTTTATTAAGAAATATTTAGAAAATGAAAAGAATATTTACTGCTTTTCGTATTCATATCAAACAGTTCATATTGTACATTCAGATCAATATTGTACATCTATTGTACTATAATGAACACACGGGTCTTTACTGAACATACCGGTCCTCTAAGATTGACAAGCTCTTCTTTTAATATTCTTAGCTGATATTCACGAGCGTTCAACATTTTTGTAGTCTTTCATTGAGTTCAATAAGTTCGCCATGCATATCAGCGACCTTTAAACATGATAAACAACATTTCATCACAACTTACGCCATGACGTCATCACCATGAAATTCCCAGGGATGAACAAGAAACGCGAAATCAGTCAGAGTGGCGAGTTTTTAAACATATATCACGATTTCATTTCAGTTATTTATCCTCAGTTTTCATAAGTTAAAATATCTTCTTGTATTAGATATTTCTTAAAGTCATCGTGTGCATCGTATAAAAGAGTTTTCTATCAAATAAATTTCGGCTCATCTTCTTGCAACATATGATACATGAAGACCTTTTAAGGCAAATGTTTCGTTTTGTAAAAGTATTATGGTTTAATGGAAATCTTACTTGGATCAACTTCCGCTCAAAATCTTTGTTTTCTTCCTTTCTACAAGAAAAAGGAACGAAATTCATCGCCGTTGATTCACTTTTGCTATAAATTTACGGTAAATACCTCACTTCGTCGACGTCAGATTCCGGAGAAAGAATGATAGAAGAAAGTCTTTCATTTTCTGGAGCTACACAAAAGATTGTCGAATATCTTAGATTTCTACATCCATTTTAAAGATAAACTATCCCTATAGTAAACCTTCTTCCATAATGTCATTTCTTTTCAACGATTGAACAGCACCCACGTATTTCTTTAGTTGGTGTTTGAGCAAATCATTTTCACTAAAGAGCAAAAACGAACAGGTCAACAGACATCTTTGATTAACGGAAATGCAGAGTTCTCAATGTCCTAACCTTTTTAAGCTGTTAAAAGCGACGCAATTTTCTTCATTTTTCGACGACATATCTCTTTTTAAATCTTCTAATTGAAAACGAAGAGAAGCTGACTTCATCATCTCTTTTTCCAAATGTTGTTGTAACGATCTACAGGAAAGATGACCGAAGGAAAAATTAGGGCAAAATAGTGTATATTCGAATGGAATGTTTATATTAAACGAAGGACGATAATACAACCTGTTACGTTCTTCAACTTCATCTTTTCTTAACATCATCGATACAATCGCCTGTTTTAATTCCTCTTCAACAATAAAAAACCACGTATTTATTGACATTCATGAAATTAAAATTATTCACACATACAAATATTCACTTCACATGATGAAATTTGACGGATGTCTCCAAACAAGCAAAGCAACTACGATACAAATAGTAAAATCCAATTGCATTAAATATTTCTATATTTAAAACTAACTCTACCTGCTAAAAGCCCATTTATAGTTTGAGAACCTGAGGCAAAAGTGCCTCTCCCGTTCCCGAAACATTTTTCCAAAAGATATGAGAAATAAAAACCATTTAAATACATGAATAGAAAAAACACACAAACCTGAAGTCATTTCTTTGCCTGATGGATATTCCTCTGACGGCTAAAGAACGAAAACATACCAAATAATAACGAACTAAATATAACAAAGATATTTACACATGGCTTTCTACCCTCCCTCCCCTCAAAAAGATAAAAGCATTTCATAATTAACTAACATTCATACAACCATCACCCATGGTTCTGACCAATGACGATCCTGAGTAATCATTAATTTCTATGCTACCATCACGTGTGGCACATATCGCTGCAACAGTTGCTCCAATTGCTAAACTTGCATCATTCTCGACGTCTTCATCAGTGTAAATACTGAAAACAACATAAATTACCACCTCAGTTAAAATGGTGAACTCGTTAGACATTCTTGTCGATAAAATAATGAAGTATCTTCTAACCTTGAAACGGGCGAATCATTTATTGAATGAACTAAATGTCGCGACGTCTCAGGTGCAACAGTAAATCGCTCATTTTCATCTGACATAGCTAGACCCTAACTCCTTTATCGTCATCGGGGCAAACTACGGGAATTAGAGATACACCGCTGTTCATATCAACAAGAGGCTCACACACTTCTTCCTCCGACAAGAGCGATGAGTCAGTGTAATGCCCTGATTGCAAAGATGTTGTCAAAGAATGATTTTTTTTCAAATCATTCGCAGTTTTAAACTCGTCTTTAAGATGCAGAACTTCCTGGCTTTTCTTTGTTAATCGAGCCACTTGTTCATCTGTTTCATTCTCCTTGTTCTCAACGTTGGTTTTCGCCATTGTGGAAGAAAGACTTGAATTCTCAGAATTCGAACAATAAGCCAACTGAGAGTTCTTTGGCATTTCAAGAAAATCGTCAGGCCTTTTAGTGAAAGCATGGTTACCACGAGCATGTACCTGAGAATCAGTATTACGTTGTAATATGTCGTATGCCGCTCGGGTAAAACTCGTGGCACTATCGTGAGCAGTCGTTGTTGTGGAAGAACTACCATGAGAACTGACAGTAGAAGTTCCTTCTTCCGTCTCTTTGAATTCAACATTCTCAATTTGAGCAATGTTTGCTTTCTTTTTTTTACGCTTTTTCTTTTCTTTTCCTGAAACACAAAAGAAAGATAAAAGTTAGAAATTAATAAAGACGCGTGGGGATAAATGACTACGTATTGTTCAAGTATGATAAAGAATAAATGAGGACGCGCGGTTAAGAGATGATAAGGGATGAATAAACAACAGGTATAGTTAAGGGATAAATGAAGACATGTAATAATGGGATAATAAAAGTTAAGGGAACGCACGGTTGGGGGATTACAAGGAATAAATGACATGTGTGGTTAAGGAATGATAAGATTAGCGATATATGAGATGAATGGTAGGGATAATTAGGGATAAAAGGGATATTTTTGATCAGGGGAGAAAAATGAAATTCTGATCAAATCTTTGTTTTCTTAAAAAGTTGTATTTAACAAACTTCACCAGGAGCTCCTGATGTCGCATACATTGGTGATGGTACAGCCCATATTGATGTTGAACGGGAAACTGCTTGGCTGATATTGCCCGGAATCTAAAAATTAAATTAAATTCAAGTCGTTAAAGAAAAGTACATTCATAGCTTCCAATTTTTTACCATCCATTTCTATTTGCAAAGATTCATTTTTAAACAATATCAATAGCATTCCAGCATACCTGTACAGTAATAGAGTTAAACTCCGCTTTGTCAATGTCAATTGCAAAAAGAATTGAACTTAAGCCTTAAAGAAGAAACATGGAATGATAAAAAATCCATTATAGAAATAATTTCTAATTAGCAGCAATTTTAAAAAACACTTGAGAAAAACGACGATTTTTTTGAGAGCAAACATGTTTCGACATTATCAGAATGCCATCTTCAGTGCAGAATGATTAGTGTTAAGTAATATGATACATAATATGATATGAGTAAATTAATTACAATGAGTATTAAGTATTATATAACTATAACATAAGGTTCTAAAAATAAGTATTAAGAATTTATAACAAAAGTATTATTATAAATAAATATAGTGTTGTAGTAGTGAACTGGATATTTAAATCAGGATTAGTTTTATTAATGTATAGAGCTTCCTTGATTTTGAGTGAGAAAGTGGATTGATCAGTGTCAATGATTTTAAAACAGGAAGGTGAAAATTTCATGAAGGAGAAAATGGGCAGATGGTGGTTTTGTCTGTGTGGAATTTCCTTTCCTGGTAATGTTGGCGGAACTGCTGTTCCACATTCCATTACACTGATCCATTCCTTTCATTTCCTTCTTACATTCCTTCCTTAATTCCATTAATTCCTTCCTTCCATTCCACCCTATCCTTTCTTCCATTCCATTCCTTCCATTCATTCCATTCCACTTCCTTTAATCCTACTTTATATTCCTATTATACAATATTCATTACCTAATACTTTTTCATTCATTTTCATCATGCAATCATTCCATTTTCTGAAAAATCAATAGTTACATGTCTTGCATTGGAAACCTGTTTCAGATTTGTTATGCCAAAGCAATATCTTTATTCAGTTTCAAATAAAACATACACGTTCATCAAACCATGATGCATCTTGCAAAGAACGATTACATACATTGTATAATTATTATGACATAAGCAGCTTACCTTTAAAAGAAAATTGCATTACTATATCGCATTATACATTGGTTATGATCAGGGACGCCGGAACGTCAAAAGGGTAGAAGGGGCAAGCCTTTGTGGAAGGGCACATTAGTGAAATATACTAAAAATAATCTTATATTGATAAACAGCAAAGAGATGTGCTACATGCAATACACTGTACAGAAGCACATGTCTGCAGTGTTGGTCAATTAATATTAACGATAATATAACTATCAAACGATGTAACGTCACTAATTCACAATTTGTCATGTATTGTATTTTCCAAAATATTTAATTCTTCTTTCATTTCTCTGTGAAAACTCTTTGGCAATTACGTCTATTTCCACCATATCCATGTGTTGCTTCTGAATGTTGGAGAACATAATATCATTCAGATGATTTCCTTCAGTGTTTGACCGCAGCCATGTTTTGAGACGACGCATTACGCTGAATGTGCGTTCGCACGAGGCAGATGAGAGTGGCACTGTGTAGTATAGTATAATTAGTTTGTGGATCTCTGAGCACCTTTTCCTTGCTGACAGCATGGCATTGAATATCTCTGCTATTGTTGAAATACGCGTGACTTCTGTTATTTTTTTCTTCTGATCCGCGTTGTAAAGCCCAAGAATGGTGGGAAGATCATCAAGCTGCTTTCTTAGAGCATCTTTATCAATCAAAGAATTGCTTAATCCATCTAAAGATACTCCTCTTTCTTTCATAGAGTTAAGTAACAGTTCCTCGATACATTTGATCTAGAAAAGATCGTCTTGTTCAAATCGCGATCCTAGACCTGAGATGATTGCATCAATGGCTTGGTAGTACGAGCTTCGCATTGGTGTTATATTCGCACTGTTGTAAACTGAGGCATCTGTGACGTGAAGGCTTTCTGTTATGAACATTTCTTCATTATTCATCCATCTTGGAACTTTTCTTAGTCTAGTGCCAGTGCCAAAATTTTCACTAAATTCCAGTGGAAACGACATCATAACACGAAAAACTTTCTTAGCGTCATCAAGTGTACGCTCAAACTCTTCTTCGCTTCTCATCTCATGAAGACGTTGCAGGACATGTCTTATTGAAAATAGAGCGTACTCATCTGAAATATCAACCGCTTGGAGCTCTTTAGAAAGCTTCTCGAGTAAAGCCAATAGCTTTCTTGTGGCGTTTAAATTAAAGATGACGATTAAGGATGAGAGTTGTCGCCTTAATATTCCTCTAATCTTTGCTTTTGTGTCTGCCGAAATGCTAGGATCTTCCTGCAATTTTTCAAGGGTTGCATGTAGTTCAGCCGATTTCTCAAAGATGACGTCAGCAGCCTTTACTCTTGTTGTCCATCTCGTTGTAGAAAGACTTTGGAGTCGTAGAACTTTGTAATCTTTTGTTCCTGTTTCGTTTCTAAAATCTGCCTGTATTTCTTCGAACAATAAAATACGTTTTGGATGGGCACCTACGATTTCATACAGAGATTGACATAAATCCAGTGATGTAGACAATAAATTAGATTGCTTAGCTGCATCCTGTATAATAAGTTCATTGCAGTGACTAAAACAATGAACATAAATTGCGTTTGGTGCAATGTTTTCCTTGAGCTTTCTTGCGAGGGATTTCATTGCTGAAGCTCCATCAAAGCCCATAGCTTCCAAAGCCAAATGTTAAAGGAAAACTAACATAGTTACGACAATTTTATTGCTAAGCTAAAAAGAATGCAATATACCACAACGGTTAAGTAGTCTTTATCTTGGATTAAAAACAATAAACTTTCAACCTGTAGGGCACTTTTGCCCCCCCTGCCCACCTCCAGAAAAGGCAAGGGGGGCCGTTGCCCCCCAGTTCCGGCGTCCCTGGTTATGATAATCATGTAGCTTATCAAGCCAAGATTGATCTTTCTTTCTTAAATGTTACTTAAATCAAACTTACAAAAGGAATTGTTTATGCGCAATGAAGCTATGAAGATATTTCTCCAGTGATTGCTCGTTTAAACTAGACCTAAGCTATGCTTGAGCTGCCAAATAAATATGAAAAATAGAAAGAAAAATGTCAGAACAAATTCATGGCATACAAAAAGGTTTTACCCACAAACATTCCTGGAATCATTTAGAAACCAACAACTTGACCAACCTCTACCAACATCTGTCATTACATTATGTAAAGAATTATATGTCTTTATTTCACTAGAGCTAAGATGTTCCTTGATAAATAGCCAGAACACAGATTGACCTTCAGATCTCATTAACACCTGCCTTTAATGAACATAGAAGTGATGAAAACAAATTATTTAAGAATGGCTTCTAAATTGACTGAATTGAGAGAGGAATGATGAAGATACCTTAAAGAATTTATCTTTTTTGTGGATTTAATGCCAAATTGAAGAACATTGTTCCATTGCTCACAAAGACAAGAGATTCTGTAATTCATCATAAATACAAGGATTATGATAAATAAGGATTATACTATGAAATAAAATGAACACAATACAATGCAATCGAAGAAATATCAAGTTCACCTGCTCTCCTTCTCAGAAGCCAATTCCGTTGTACTACCAAATCGTACCTGACACTAAAGAAACGACGAGGTTCAAGTCGACCAAATCATTCGAGTAAAATCAATACAATAAAAGACGAAACGAAATTACAAGTTCCAAGTTCGAACTTTAAACTACGTACAAATATTTTAAAACTAACTTGCTTTACTCCATCCAACAAGCGATCAATAATTGCTTGCTTTGTAATACTACACTTGCCAAGTTCAACATAATCTCTACTGAACTAACATGTAAAAAAATAGTTTTATTTGTCGGACAATTAGAAAAATAATTAAAAATAATTAGATATTAACATAGGATGTTTATACGAGTACCTTATGATCGCTTGATATCACCAAATATCAACTCTCACCACCCATGCTAGCATCAAGAAAGTTCGGAAAAATACAAAGTTTTTTCTACATGTAAAAAATATCCACGATAAACGACAGTATTATTGAAGCAGTTCACAAAAGAAGATAAATCAAGGAAATTTACAAATATGGGCAACGAAAATGATGTAAATGAAATATTTGAGGCAAATGGCAGGACGTCACAAAGAGAGGGGGAACATTGGGGGTGGGGATGAGAGTACACACTGAGCGTCGCAAATGACACCCCCAGTGCCCACCATAATACCTCGGCAAACGAATGCATGAAAAACATGACACATGCAGTAATTTCTTAAAGTTATTTGCTGAGATAAATCAACGCAAGTAAAAAATGTTTCATCGAATTCTTTTATCAAAAACCACGGACAATGATTCCAAATTCTAAAAAACGTATGATAAACTGGAAAAATCAAAAGTTTTTTAAATTCTTTCGTCGAATTTCACTTATTGAACATCACAGAAGTAAAAAATAAAATGTTAACAAATCACAAAATTTATCAGACTAAACTATGAGTATATTGTTTTATAGTTAGTTCATGGTGAATGCTGTATGGTTAGTTCATGGTGAATGCTGTATGGTTAGTTCATGGTGAATGCTGTATGGTTAGTTCCCGGTCAATGCTGTATGGTTAGTTCATGGTCAATACTCTATTACAACTAACAAAATTCTGTTAAACCAAATATCACATGACGTCATTGATTGTAATTACGTGTTTGTAGATGTAAATCGTCCAAGTCAGAGTAGAGTCGTGAGGAATGTTGATATTAACTGTCTCTAGATAGATGCTCTACAAAGATGTCATTAATGTTTTATAATACCGTTTGTTGAAAGAGATCCTGAGTCACTCTTCATCTTCGTTATTTAAATGTGTTTATGTAACAAAACTTACATGGATAAAAGATTGATGTTACTATAAGGCATGAACTATGATCACCATTTTTAACTAATATGTATGTGGTCACGTTGTTTTTATTAAATCTCTCATCCGTTTGTTAAGTATGTGACATGTAAAGAAGTAAAGCAAGCATAATTTTGTTCACACGGTCGTCATATATGAAGTCTTATTTCTACAACGTAGGTAATTTGTCGAAAGTAAAGCGAGTTTCTGAAACTATATTACTAACTTTACATAACGATTTCGCTATTGAAGGATCTCGATAATGTATGACTAAACATGCATGAGAAATCATATCTAAATTGATATACCAACTTTCTAACTATTGACAATAAGCTGCATGGTAAAGGAAAGCAAAACCTGTTCAAAGGTATGTGAGAGGTGAAATAGCATACTTGTCTATGGAAAAAATGGGAATCTGTGAAAATTTATGTAGGGGGATAGCAAGTCCAATCATGCATCACCTCCCTTCTTTGCTGACGCCACTTTTGACTAAACTCTGTGTGTCTAACAAAATGTTGATAGTTGTATACAACAAGCCATTTCTTTTAGAAATAAGAAAATTTGAAAAACAAGCAAAAGTTAAACACAGGAAGAATGTATTTACACACAGAGGAAGAACGAGACCGAATCTATTGTTTGTGAATTGTTGATTCATGCAACACAGAGCTTTCAAAACTATACTTATGATCATATTTTAGTTTAACAGTGTTAAAGTTTACTTTTATTGCATCCTTTACTGTTATATGTATAGTGTTTTTTATTGATCATAAGTATTTAAGATTGCGTGCAGTTGATAATTAAAATGTATTGATAATTTACAATGGGTTATTCAATAACAAAGGCCTTTATAATATAAAGCGACTTTTATCCGCTTACTCATCCGCTTGTTGAGTATGTGACATGTAAAGAACTAAAGCAAGCATAATTTTGTTCACATGGTCGTCTTACTTTTGAAATAAAGTAATTTTAGAAAAATTAAGCGATATTTTAGAATTACACTACAAACATAACAAAGTAGATAAAGCAACATCTCGATAAAGTATGAGAATCATGCCTCTATATTGGATACATAACTTAACTATTGACAATGGTAAAGGACAGTAAAGTCTGTTCAAAAGTATGGGGAGGCAGAATAATATGAGAACATTTCCTACATGTAGCACGCTGAATTTTCTGTGTGTCTAGCATTATGTTCATAGTTGTATACAACAAACCATTTCTTTTATAAGTAAGGAAATTTGAAAAATAAGCAGAAGTTAAACACAGGAAGAATGTATTTACACACAGAGAAAGAACGCGACCGAATCTATTTTTTGTGAAATGTTGATTCATGCAACACAGAGCTTTCAAAATTATACTTTTGATCATATGTTAGTTTAACAGTGTTAAGGTTTACTTTCATTGCATCCTTTACTGTTATATTTATAGTGTTTTTTTATTGATCATAAGCATTTACAATTGCGTGCAGTTGATAATGAAAATGCATTGATAACTTACAATGGGTTATTCAATAACAAAGGTCTTTTCATAATTTGAACTGACTTTTGCAATAATATACACGTATGGAATTTTTGATTAGTGAAGTGAAAAAATCGATTTAAAGTTTCAAAAATCTTGTCTTAATCATTCACATTCAAATCCTATTTTAGAAAGGTGATCCTTTATTCCTGAGTTTATACTTGTTAAACTTTATATTATTTAGCAGTAGTCCTTTGGAATTTGACTCATTTCAATGTTATTATTTACTCTGCATGAGGTTCTTATTTATGTATTTTTATTTCAATAACAATTGTTTTTAGTCAGTGATGTATACTTAGTTATATAACTAGAATGTTCTACATAGACGTCATTAATGTTTTATAACAGTGTTTGATGAAAGAGATCCTGACAAACTCTTCATCTTCGTTCGTTATTTAAATGTGTTTATGTAACAAAACTTGCATGGATAAAAGATTGATGTAACCATAAGGTATGAATTATGATCACGATTTTTTAACTGATATGTATGTGGTCGCGTTCTTTATAATAAATCTCTCATCTTTGTAAAGTATGTGACATGTAAAGAACTAAAGCGAGCATAATTTTGTCTACACCAGGGGTCTCCAAACTACGGCCCGCAGGCCAGATGCGGCCCGTTGGGCTTCTCAATCCGGCCCGCAGAGGCACTTCAGAAAAAAAATAATATTATTAAACAAAATAAATTTTGTGCAGAAAGTTTACGTTATGTCGCAAGCAAACTAGCAAGAGTGGCTTACGTCAATATTTCTCCCAACTTCCTCATTCCGTTTCAAGCACACTGCGAAATTTAAAAAGCTGAAGGATAACGTGGAAATTTTTTATATTCTTTGGCCCTCAACATGCTGGATGAAAGTTCATGTGGCCCTCTGGCTGTAAAGTTTGGAGACCCCTGGTCTACACGGTCGTCATATATGAAGTCTTATTTCTAAAACGAAGGTAATTTGTCGAAAGTAAAGCGAGATTCTGAAACTTTATTACCAACTTTACATAACAAATTTGCAACCGAAGCATCTCGATAATGTATAACTAAACATTCAAGAGAAATCGTATTTAAGTTGAACACCATATTTCAAACTATTGACAATAAGCTGCATGGTAAAGACAGTAAAACATGTTCAAAAGTATGGGGGAGGCAGAATAACATGAGAATATTTTCTACAAGTCGAACGCTGAATTTTTCTTTATAAACTATACTTGTCTATTGAAAAAAGGGGAATTTTTTAAAAATTTATGTAGGGGGGGGGCACATGTTTAATTATGCATCACCTTCCTTCTTTGCTGACGCCACTCTTGACTAATCTCTGTGTGTCTAGCATTCTGTTCATAGTTGTTTACAACAAGCCATTTTTTTATAAGTAAGAAAATTTGAAAAATAAGCAGAAGTTAAACGCATAAAGAATGTATTTACACACAGAGGAAGAACGTGGCAGAATCTATTTTTTGTGAAATGTTGATTCATGCAACACAGAGCTTTCAAAAAAATATTTTTGATCATATGTTAGTTTAACAGTGATAAAGTTTACTTTCATTGCATCCTTTACTGTTATATGTATAGTGTTTTTTTATTGATCATAAATATTTACAATTGCGTGCAGTTGATAATGTAAATGTATTGATAATTTACAATGGGTTATTCAATAACAAAGGCCTTTTTATAATATAAACTGACATTTGCAATAATATACACGTATGGAATTTTTGATTATTGAAGTGAAAAAATCGATTTAAAGTTTCAAAAATCTTGTCTTAATCATTGGCATTCAAATCCTATTTTAGAAAGGTCATCCTTTATTCCTGAGTTTAAACTTGTTAAACTTTATATTATTTAAAGTAGTCCTTTGGAATTTGACTCATTACAATGTTATTATGTACTCTGCATGAGGCTCTTATTCATGTATTTTTATTTCAATAACCATTGTTTTTAGTCAGTGATGTACACCTAACTATAGAACTTGAATGTTTTACAGAGATGTCATTAATGTTTTATAATGTTGAAAAAGATCCTGACTCACTCTTCATCTTCGTTCCTTATTTCAATGTGTTTACGTAACAAAACTCACATGGATAAAAAATTAATGTTACCATAAGAAATGAAATATGATCATTATTTTTTACTGATATGTATGTGGTCGCGTTGTTTATATTAAATCTCTCATCCGTTTGTTGAGTATGTGACATGTAAAGAACTAAAGCAAGCATAATTTTGTTCACACGCTCGTTTTACTTTTGAAAGAAAGTAATTTTAGAAAATATAAGCAATATTTTAGAACTACACTAACGACATAACAAATTAGCTAAAGCAGCATCTCAATTAAGTATGACTAAACATGCATGAGAAATCATATCTAAATTTATATACCAACTTTCTAACTATTGACAATAAGCTGCATGGTAAAGGAAAGCAAATCCTTTTCAAAGGTATGGGAGAGGTGAAATAGCATACTTGTCTATGGAAAAAATAGGAATCTGTGAAAATTTATGTAGGAGGGATAGCAAGTCCAATCAAGCATCACCTCTTTTTTTGCCGACGCCACTTTTGACTAATCCCCGTGTCTCTAACAAAATGCTGTTAATTGTATTAAGCAAACCTTTCATTTTAAAAGTAAGAACATTTGTAATATAAGCAAATGTTGAACTCAGGAAGAATGTGTTTACACAGAGAAAGACGCAACCAAATCTATTTTTGTGAAATGTTCATTCATGCAACACAGTGAGCTTTTAAAATTATACTTTTGATCATGTTTAACAGTTTTAAGGTTTACTTTCATAGCAAACTTTACTGTTGTATCCACAGTTTCTTTATTGATCATAAGTAATTATAATTGCGTGCAGTTGATGTTTGACATGTATTCGTAATTTACAATGGTTTATTTAATAACAAAGGTTTTTTATAATAAGAACTGACTTTTGCAATAATATACATGTATGGAATTTTTCATTAATGAAGGAAAAAAATCCATTCACAGTTTCGAAAATCGTGCCTTAATCATTGGCATCCTGTTTTAGATAGACGATTCTCTATTCCTGAGTTAAAACTTGTGAAAATTTATAAGATTTAGCAGTAGTCCTTTGTAATTTGAGTAATCTCAATGTTATTATGTACTCTGTATGAGGTTCTTATTTATGTATTTTTACTTCTATAAAAGTTGTTTTTAGTCAGTGATGCATACTTAGTTATATAACTAGAATGTTCTAAATAGACGTCATTAATGTTTTATAACAGTGTTTGTTGAAGAAGATCCCGACTCACCCTTCACTTTCATTCATTATTTAAATGTGTTTATGTAATAAAACTCACATCGATAAAAGATTGATGTAACAAAAAGGTATAAAATATGACCACCATTTTTAAACTGATATGTATGTGGTCGCGTTCTTTTTAATAAATCTCTCATCCTTTGTTAGGTATGTGACATGTAAATAACTGAAGCAAGCTTAATTTGGACGACGAGGTCGTCAGATATGAAGTCTTACTTCTACAACAAAGGTAATTTTACAAAAGTAAAGCGAGATTTATATCCACATTACGGAGCTAATAAATTAGCTATGGAAACATCTAGATGAAGTATGGATAAACATGCATGAGAAATCATATCTAAATTGATATACCAACTTTTAAACTAATAACCATAAGCTGCATGGTAAGAAAAACAGTAAAACCTGCTCAAAAGTATTGGGAGGAATAATAGCATGATTGTATTTTCTACATGTAGGACGCTGACTTTTCTTTACTTACCTTTGCATTCATCTCTAGTGGATACAGTTTCTGAAGAGGCCTGCTTATGTGCAGTGGCTTTCCCTTGCTAACAACTTTGACTTGCGCTCCTCAGACTATATTATTTTTTCTCTTGATCAATCTCTCAATTCTTGCTGTTTTCCCAAATCCTCTTTTCAAACTTTCCTCAAGCACAAGAACTACATCACCTACTTTCGGACACAAACTACCCTTTACTTTGCCAACCTTATGACACTCACTTATACTTGTTAAGTAATCCTTCCTCCACCTGGACTGAAAATGCTTTCTCAATCTCGCTAAATACTTAAAACCTACGCTTGACCACTCCTGAATCTTCGTCATTAATAGTATGCATAATTCTTTTGTCTGGAATAGATGTTAATCTTCTTCCAAACATAAGATGTGCAGGAGTCAGTACATTTACATTCACTTCATCTTCATACCCATAAGTCAATGATCTAGAGTTTAACGTACCTTGTACCTTAACTAATGTTGTTAACAATTCTTCCTCGTTCAATTTAGCGCTACCCAACACCTTCTTCAGACAGCCTTTCACCAATGCTACCATTCTTTCAAAAAATCCACCCCACCGGGGTGTCCTCGCCAAATTAAACTTCCATATCAACCGATTTCCTTCCAAATATGATTTTACTTCCTTAATTTCATCAATCCCCTTCAACGCTTTCTCAGTTGCTTTAAATGTTTTGGTGTTGTCCCAAACTATTAGCGAGGGTGCTCACATTCTAGCAGTAAATCTTCGCATACAATTTAAAAAACAAAGTGCACTTAAACTATCAACTAAATCAAGACAAATTGTTCTTGTAACACAGCAGGAAAATAGTGCGATGTATACTTTTACCATCTGTCCACCTTCATTTGAAAACAATAGACCAGCAAAATCTACTCCTACTTTAGAAAAGGGTGGTGAATACTGAACTCTAAAATCTGCTAAATCTGCTTGCACTGGTGTTTTATAAGCCTCTACTTGATGTCTTCTACAAATCCTGCAATTTACGACCGCACAGTACGCCTTTTGGCTGGCATCTGCGTACCCATGCAAGTAACACTTTACCTTACCAAGTAAATTACCATAGACATATCTCGCCACAACTAAATCCCTGACTCTCTCTAAATATTCTATACATCTCTCCCATCGTTTTTTCTTGTCACCTTCCAGCTCATTATCGCTATCAGCTTTCTTAATACACAGCCCCTGAACAATAACTTATCACAAACTACAACTGGCCTTATAATACCTAAAGGATTGAATAATCCTGCAAGTATACTTTGTATATTTCGTTTATTTGGAATGAATGCATTTGCACTTTAAGCCATATTCCAGAGGCTAAATACAAAGAGATCCTACTTACACTCCCATCCCAATCCTAATACTTTCTCAAAACTTCCAATGATATTATTTTCCCCAACTGATGCTTTAGCATCAGTTTTTTCATCAACCACTTTCGATGTACTAAATTCTGCCCTTCTTTCTTCTAAAATTCTTCTTTCTCTCTTTTCAATTTCTTTCAAAACATTCTCATCGTTACTTAGCCACTTCCTAAGCCTAAATTCTCCTGCAGCCAATCGCTCACTTGCTGACTCATACAACCTCATTCCTTTCTTCTTGGATTGTTCATCGGACACTAAATCATCAACATAAAAGCTATCTCTGAGTTTTTTAACAATTTCCCTGTCTATCTCTATGAATGAGTTATTGTCATTTTTGCTTTTCGACCATTTTACTGCGTTTCCTGCTAATTTCATGGCTAATTCTTACAAAATCAGCATAGAAACAGGACATTGTTTAGTTTGAATCTAACAAAGAATTTCATTGATTTAATTGCTTTGCTCAGCTAAACGAAATCGTCAAGGCAACAAGGGCATCTAGTACAGCAAACAAATACAGCATTGGCTAGGCATGACACAAAGCGCTTTGAGTCTTTGACTTGTAGTATAATGCTACTACTTTAGAAATGTACCTTTTTGAAGTGCCTGTAAAATACCATTTATTGCAAACAATCTTTTAGACTTTATACTAAAAACACAATATCTGACATCATTGAGAACTTCTTGTAGACGGCTTTGTGCAAAGCTTATGATACCAGGCATTTCCTTACAAACTTGTCATGCTAAGGGAAAAAAAATTGTTAGGCAAAATATCATCGCATTAATTAAAAAGAAACTGAGAATCCCCTGTTTTCTCATCAATCTAATGGCTTCATCAATAAAGACACTCAACTTATTCAGGAATCCAGGTGATACAATAATGAAAACAGAAGATGCATCAGTTCTTTCGTGCTAAAGTGGTTGCTTGCATGCAAGTCAAAAACAGAAAACAATTTTACAAACGACTTTGAAAAATTTCTATAATTGTGTTGATTCAAACTAAAGCTTGATTCATCATGTCTACTGAATGCCAGCTCTTTTTTAGACAAATGTTTGACAACCTTCATTTATATTTACCTTTTCTTCTAATTAGGCCTTTATCCTCATTATGTCGTGTCTCTTTTTGTTCTTAAAAACAACTTCAACACACTGGTAAAAATCCCTGTTCATCAAGTTCAACATTTTATAAAGTTGAACAACAAAATTTCATTTTATGTTTCTTGAAATCGTCAGAAAAATGATGCTTGTTTATACATTCAATGTTTGTCCAAGTTTTGGATTTGCACGAAACAGCAAAGAGTATGACCATGCAGTTAACAATTGATTTTTGTCCTCACAAACATACATGTAAACAATCTTTTCTCCCTTATCAAGTTGATCAGAATCCCCTGCCTCTCATTACAAGTCTTAGCGTGCAATTTGCATGGCTTGCGACATTCTGCTTTTTAGCATTTTATCCAACGGAATAACCTTTGTAAAAGCTGAAAAACAATTAATATAACCTGCTCTTTTATCTGCAGATTAGAGGTGCAATTGTATTTTCAAATGCAATAAAACTGTAGCTAAAACGATGAAAACTTTGAGGTATTTAAAATAGTTGCCCTAAAAAATTTCAGCACCCTCAAAAGGAAAAATTCTGCGGCTGATTTATAACTAACCCTCCCTAACAAAAAAGGCATTATTTCATCAGCATTTATTAAAAAAACTTGCATTTCAAGTAAAATTCAATGAAAGTGGTACACTGACTGCATGAACTTTTGCCTGAGACTAGGAGTTAATGGAATTAAAATTGATGAAGAATTTTTACCATTAAACTATCAATCTTCGTAGCCCCAAAAATACGATTGGGTGCTATCCAAATCGTCTATCATTTGTTGGAAATGGTTGCAAAACAAAAAAAAATTCCTAAGTCATATTTAAACACGTGCGTTAGACTCTAGAATGCATCAATATCAACCTTAGTCTATTCAAAAAAAGGCTATTACAACATTTTAAAAAATCCTTAAAAAGAGTAGCTATATTTGCTGTTTATGACGATAAAAAATGCGAACTACACTTTAAATATCGTTTTGTTTTTAATGTTTGTGGCATTTGTTTGGATTAACCCTTTAGGAGCCAGGCCCTTTTTAAAAGTTTGTACACGTCTCGTTTGCCGATTTTGCCTGTAAGCAACAACGGTCTCTAGAGGGTTAAGGCTGCTTTAATTGACAAGAGCTGTAGCATGTATCCTGTTATTTAATAGCTACTTATGTTCATTTGCATTTATAGCATGATGCACGCGAAGTTGATTAAATAAATAAATAAATAAATAAATGTATGTATGAGTAAATGTATTTGATTTCATCAAATGTAAAAAACTCTCGATTTTCATGATAACTAATACATTTTTCTTTTATATTAAATTTTTGGAATTGCTTGATTTTACTTGTCTTGATGATACAACAATTTTTTTAGATGGAATCAAGAGAAAACAGAAATCTATTTTACATCAGAAGAGTAATTAATGTGGTACAAACGGAACTTGCTCAATTTTTCATTAAACAATGGAACTCTCGTTACAAATCAACTTATGGAGAATGGGATGATACACACATCAGTGGTAACAAATTTTACAATTTAGAATCAAGAAGAAGGTTAGACCAAAAAACTCGACAAAAATATCAAGATGGAGATACCAGTAAGTGGGACTGTACGATATTATTTGATGCAATAATTTTTTCAAATTCAATTGGAAATCACCTTGACAAAAAAACAAAGGATGCTGTTCATACACTTCGTGGTGAAAGAAACAATGACGCTCATTGGTATGAAAGCAATTACTCAGATGATGATTTTGATGGAATAGTCAATATCATTGAAAAATCATTTCAATATTTAAAATTTTCCCTCGATGGAATCAATGAAATAAAAAATAATCGAAACAAGTTTAATTCATTTCAAGTTCTTCCTTCAAAACCCAATCATTTTCTCGTTGAACGCACTGAATTACGAGATAAAATTATAAAAGATCTCGAAAAATTAAGGAATGATAACAATTATAAACTGACATGTTTCTACATCACTGGTAATCCTGGCAGTGGTAAATCACAACTTGCAAGAAAGGTTTGTGAAAAAATATCGAGTGATTGGAAAAATAGAACTTCGTTTGTAATGACTCTCGATGGAAAAAATGAGGAATCTCTTTTAAAAACTTACTGTGAACTTGGATACCGTTTAAACTGTGACAAGTATATGATTAAAAAATTTGAAGAGGAAAATACTTCCATCCCAGACAAAGTGAAGAATTTGCGATCGTTAGTATCCACACGATTAAAATTCTGGCAAAATTGGTTGATCATTGTAGACAACGTGGCACAGCTTAGCAAAATTTCTTCATTACTCCCCCAAGTTGGTGATCCCTTGTGGATAAATGGACAAATCATAGTAACTATCCAGAACACAGAAGCCGTACCTCAAGACGATGAGTTTAACAAACATATTTCTATCAGAAGTGGAATGAATGATAAAGAATGTTGTCAACTGTTGGAATATTACACTAAAGATGATAATGCTGATGATCAATTGTTGCATGAAGTATCTCACGTATTAGATTGTCAACCGCTGGCTTTGGCTGCCGCTGGCTGTTATGTCAGTCGTGTAAACAAAGCAAACTGCTCATTTACTTGGAGACAATATTTAAAGAAAATATCTTCAGAAGAACAAGAAAACATGGACGCCACTTTTATTCAATTTAACTCGGTGTATCCTAGAAGTATGTTACAAGCTTCACTTTTAGCTGTCAGACAAAATGCTGAAGAATCCACAATATTGGCAAATGTTATTAACTTTTTTTCCGTGATATCGTTTGATCCTATACCACGAGACATTATTGTTTTTTATGTTCAAAGAATAGATCCCAAACACTCAAAGGAAGATATATGTCTTTGTTTAAAGGACTGCTCATTGTTCTTGCATTCAGAAAATAATGAAATTAGTCTACATCGCATTGTTCACAAAGCAATTATTGTTTATCAATCTGAACATTCAAATGAAGAACATGAAAAGGAAACTAACGTTGATCAAACATCTAAAGCACTTTACATGTTTAAAGAGAGAGACGACGAAATCAAATTAATGCCACATCTTGAAAAAATTGTTCAATTATTAAAGACCAACAAGACAAAAATCAACATGAACACTTTACAAGTTTTCCGATATTTTGTTTACAAATTAAGACATTTTGGAAAATACGATCTTGCTCTTGAATTATTGCATAAATTTAACTCAGAAGAATCTAGTTATGAAAAAGCTTGGTATTTTAATATCCTCGGTGTTTTATATCATGACACCGGGAAGTATAGCAAAGCTATAAATTATAACGAAAAAGCTCTGGAAATTCGAAAACAATCGTTAGGTCCAAATCATGTTGATTTCGCTGCGTCTTTAAACAATCTTGGTATGGTGTATAGTGATACAGGAAACTACAACAAAGCTATAGACTTTTACGAAAAAGCTCTGGAAATTCAAAAACAATCGTTAGGTCCAAATCATGTTGATGTCGCTGGGTCTTTAAACAATCTTGGTACTGTGTATTATAAAACTGGAAACTACGACAAAGCTATTGAGTTTTACAGCAAAGCTCTGGGAATTCGAAAACAATCGTTAGGCTCAAATCATGTTGATGTCGCTGCGTATTTAAACAATCTTGGTAATGTGTATTATAAAACTGGAAACTACGACAAAGCTATTGAGTTTCATAAAAAAGCTCTGGAAATTCAAAAACAATCGTTAGGTCCAAATCATGTTGATGTCGCTACGTCTTTAAACAATCTTGGTAATGTGTATTATGAAACTGGAAACTACGACAAAGCTATAGAGTTTAACGAAAAAGCTCTGAAAATTCAAAAACAATCGTTAGGTCCAAATCATGTTGATGTCGCTATGTCTTTAAACAATCTTGGTAATGTGTATTATAAAACTGGAAACTACGACAAAGCTATTGAGTTTCATGAAAAAGCTCTGGAAATTCGAAAACAATCGTTAGGTCCAAATCATGTTGATGTCGCTGCGTCTTTAAACAATCTTGGTAATGTGTATTATGAAACTGGAAACTACGACAAAGCTATAGAGTTTAACGAAAAAGCTCTGGAAATTCAAAAACAATCGTTAGGTCCAAATCATGTTAATGTCGCTAGGTCTTTAAACAATCTTGGTAATGTGTTTCAAAAAACTGGAAACTACGACAAAGCTATAGAGTTTTATGAAAAAGCTCTGGAAATTCAAAAACAATCGTTAGGTCCAAATCATGTTGATGTCGCTGCGTCTTTAAACAATCTTGGTAATGTGTATAGTGATACTGGAAACTACGACAAAGCTATAGAGTTTTACGAAAAAGCTCTGGAAATTCGAAAACAATCGTTAGGTCCAAATCATGTTGATGTCGCTACGTCTTTAAACAATCTTGGTAATGTGTATTATGAAACTGGAAACTACGACAAAGCTATAGAGTTTCATGAAAAAGCTCTGGAAATTCGAAAACAATCGTTAGGTCCAAATCATGTTGATGTCGCTACGTCTTTAAACAATCTTTGTAATGTGTATAATGATACTGGAAACTACGACAAAGCTATAGAGTTTTACGACAAAGCTCTGGAAATTCGAAAACAATCGTTAGGTCCAAATTATGTTGATGTCGCTACGTCTTTAAACCATCTTGGTAATTTGTATTATGAAACTGGAAACTACGACAAAGCTATAGAGTTTCATGAAAAAGCTCTGGAAATTCAAAAACAATCGTTAGGTCCAAATCATGTTGATGTCGCTGCGTCTTTAAACAATCTTGGTATTGTGTTTCAAAAAACTGGAAACTACGACAAAGCTATAGTGCTTTACGAAAAAGCTCTGGAAATTCAAAAACAATCGTTAGGTCCAAATCATGTTCATGTCGCTTCGTCTTTAAACAATCTTGGTGCGGTGTTTAATGAAACTGGAAACTACGACAAAGCTGTAGAGTTTTAAGAAAAAGCTCTGGAAATTCGAAAACAATCGTTAGGGACTAGTCAGGTTGATGTCGTTAAGTCTTTTAAATAATCTAGGTGTGTTGTATTATGAAACTCGGGAATATGACCAAGCTTTACAGTTACACTTTGATAGCTACGTGTTTTAAAGAAAATTGTGCCTTCTAAATTATGTTAAGCCTATTTTTAACACATAGACCGTAGGAGCAAGGCTTCCACCTGCCAAGTCAGCTCCCCTCTCCCTCAGAAGGTATTTTTGGTAGTGAATAAAACGTTTGCAATTTGCATTTTGTGAGGTAAAATGAACCTAAAGATGTAATGATCCTTGTCTATATATAGTTTCACTGATATCTAGTCAATAAACTTACTCTACAGCCGGGAATCATCCTAAGTAGAACTTAGAACTGCCCATGCCCTGAATTGGACATTCTTCTTTAGACTTTATTTCTGAAGTAATTTGTTTTTATGCTATAACCAAGTAGAAATTTTTATTGTAAAATTAACAATAAAAAAGTATATTGGGATGACAGAATTTTGTTAAATAAATACTATCCTGTTAGTTTTTCATATTCTTTGATACATTCAGTAATTTTTTACCCAGCTCCATAAGCCTATGACCATATTCCAGGATCCTATAATTTCCAAGGGGTACACCTTTCATACCATACATACCACCCCACCATATGGCAGCCAATATTCCTGTACTGTCACTATCTCCACCATGAAACATAGAACAAGAACACAATTGAAACCAGGAATCTTTTGCCATCATCAAAGCATCATAAGCAATCATTGGTGCATCATGACTACTGGACCCACCCCAACCTGCATAACTGACAGATTTATAAAAAGCATCACGTTCAGGTATGTTATGTGTCACTGGAAACTTTGGTTCACTGGTTCCATTCATTAATCCCCAGTAGTAATATACATGGGGGTACGAGAGCACAAAGTGCTCTCATATCCCCCATGTATATTACTACTTTTAACCGTGGATAAAAACTATCTTTATAACAGCGTAAAATAAGACCATGGTCCAAAGACGTCCCTCTGGCAAAAGGTCATGTAAAAAAGCTGTGTAAAAATAGTCATTGTTTCAAATGGGTAAAAACTATCTTTATAACAGCGCAAAATAAGACCATGGTTCAAAGACGTCCCTCTGGCAAAAAGGTCATGTTAAAAAGCTGTGTAAAAATAGTCATTGTTTGAAAGGGGGGTAAAAATCTCGAGGTTACAATCTATTGTTTAAAAATATGGAATCTATATGTTTTTGAAATATATAGGTGCGTTTAAATTTTACAAACGGTCTTTACAAACAAATGTTAACAAGCATCGGTTCGGAGAGCATTCGGCAGCACAGAGCATAATGCAAGATCATGAAATGATCTTGCTCAGATCTCGAGCAGAGAATGAAATGCTCGAGAATTCTGGAACCCCTGGTGGGGAAAATTTTCACGAAGTGAAAATTCGGGGTTCCCCCATACATTAGATGAATATTCGAAGAATATTCGAGAATAACAGAGGCTTAAAAAATGCTCTTCAAAAAACCGTCTTTAATAATCAAGTGTTAATAATCAAGTGTTAATAATCAAGTGTTAATAAAGCATCTTTTTAAATCATTGTTAGGGGCGAAGAATTTCAGGCAACTAAGCCTGAAATTTTGAGCGCAACAATGTCATAGATGCTCTTTACAAAATATGGAATCTATATGTTTTATATAATTTTTGTTAAAAGTGTTTTTACTAACTGTTTCAGGATTTTGAATTTTTTTGTATATCGCTTTTGTATTAATTACTTGTTACAAACAGTTATGTGATATGTAGTCAAACATGAGGAGCAGGTATGTATGATATTACTCTAACAGAGGCCTACGTACATGCTTACTACACATTATAACTGTTTGTTAATATTTAGTTATTTGAATTGATAAGATAATGACCATAAGCATAACTTTTACATCCATTAGCTAATATGTATCGTTTATCATCAAAACAGCTGAGTGATACTTTATTAATCTCATAACTATTAAGTTGATGATTCACACTTCTGATAGTTTTCATTGTATGATGTATTTGTTTCTTTTCAAATAGTGTTTGTTTATAGTCTTCATGTTTTATTTCGTTTTTAATAATATTTTTCTTAATTCCTTTAGCTTTTTTATCTCCTTTATTATTATCTTTAATATAACTATACATCTTGCTTCTTAAACCAATGAAATCTTTAACTACTATTCCAGCGGCTTCGTCGATCATTTTACCAATAGCCTTCTTATTAGTCTTATCATGATATTGTGAATTTTCTGGGTAATCACTAAAATCAAATTTATCTTTATCAGCCCAAAAATCTTTATAAGCATCTTCAGTTTCTATTTCATAACAGAGAGAATCGGTATCAGTGAATAATAGTTTAGCTTTATCACCATACCGCTTTTTGATATAGTTGTAATGAAAATCATACATCAACGTTTTACTTAAATCTAAGATGCACATACCTACATATGCTGGCCTATTAAGGGTTAGTGTTTCTTTGATCTTATGTATAGCCACAAGGTTCTTATTGAAGATTTTACTACTTACATAAGTAGGTTTTGAAGCTAATTTTAATAATTTATCTTTATTAGTTACTAGTCTAACATCTACTCTTTTTCGTAAGTTTTCCATAGTTTTACCAAATACCGAATTATTCATTAATTTGAAGAAGTCTTTTTCAAAAGAATTTTTTGCATTAGTTCTTTTTTGAGTATTAAAGTCTATTTATTTTTTCAACAATGGAGATTGATTAAATTCAAGTACTCTATGTACTTTTTTTAATTTTAACCCAAGATCTAAGTATAATTGAAGATTTCTATAATGTAGCACATACTTCTCTTTATTTTTTAAAGTAGGAATCAGTTTGCTTACTAATCCTGTTGATATATTATAATTATAAGCAATTGTCTTACAATATTTTGACAGCATATCGCTAGTTACCTTAACTTTTTCTGGTGCTAGTGGATAATCGTTATGTGAATCATGTAGTTTTTCAGGGTATTCTAAATCAACTTCTAGAATTACACCTTTTTTACTATCTTCTTTATATGTGGCTAAATTTATGTTGTTAATCTGTTTCTTAGTAAGCCATTTAAAATTACCTGTAGGTAAATACTGACTCATACCCATCCATATAAATTGTTAGCATCTAAATACATTATATATTTTGAGGGTTTATTCTTATCAAATGTTTCCATATACTTATTATTAGCTTTACCATATCGGTTAGAAATGTAAGAAACACCTCCTCTCATACCTTTTTCAATGAATTGAAACATGTCAATATCAGTCATTAGTTCTAATTTAATATCTGTCATTTTAAGCATAGCATCCCAAGACAACCCGGGTGATGTAAAATAATGACATGGGTCTAAGTTATAGTATTCAAGACATGTTTTTCGAAAGTTTTCAAATACATCAGCTAATAACAAAACGTCTGATTTCAGATATAGGTTGTGATACTCACCAATGTTTTTAAGATTAAATGTATTCCACACTTTTTGTGCATGATTGTATTGTTCATCTAAAATATTCTCATCAGTAAGAATACTATAAAAGTCTTTTTTTGAAGGCAACCCCTCATCAAACTTTTCAAAACTATCCATATAATCATATGGGTATATACCTTTTATAGTCATTAAATTAAGTTTTTCACCTTGAAACTGCTTAGAGGTATACTTAAATGAATCTTTAGGTAAATTACTAACAAGCTTTTCAAGACTAGAGCTCATAAATTGAAAACTATCAAGAAATGTTAAATGGTTTCCTAACATAAAAGCCATATACTTTTCCATATTATTTGGTATACAATTTATATTCATCTGCTTTTCCTCACCTTTTTTGTTTTTGTATGTATGCTTATTAATAATAACTCCGATCTCTTGCATAATAAAATGGCTATCGTATCCCCTTAAATTGTGAAATATTACTGGAATCTTTAATTTATCAGAGTCTATTCTAAGTTTTAAATTACAATCTTGATGTGCTGAGTTTCTGTATTTGCCAGTGATATGACAATAGTCTCTAACTCGAATATCTTTGTTAGTATATTTTTTGTTACAAATATGACATTCATCAGCTTTTTTAAATTCTTCTTCATCATCAGAGGTCATTTTTAATGGTTTATTAAAGTGGGTTTTCATAATATTTTTACAATATTTAACTTCTTTTAACATAGCTTCCATAAATTTGTAAACAGCTTTTTCACCTCTATATAGTTGAATTTTTTTCGTAAATTGATCATCATAACAACAAACAACTTTATATCCATAGCCGCAGTCTGTGTGCTTCTGATAGGCTTCGGTGAATGATTTTTTATTATTCTGATTACAACCAGATATCTTTTCTGTAATAGCCTCAAAGTCTGCATATATAACAAATGGTACTGGTTGTTGCTTATGATAGTTGTTGAATTTCAGTATGTTATTATGTTTATCAGGCATTTTTATTGATTGTATACCATTTATTAATATACAGTTTTCTATATGGTTATTTAATATTTTTTCAGAACTAAAACATTGAAGACAACGCATACAAAAATGTTTTCTTTCTTTATGCTTTGTTTGATTATACATAAATTTATTAAAATCTTTTATTAATACATAATGTTTGTTTTCATTATCAGTTATCAATAGTAGTTCCATATGGTCTTCAAATTTTTCTTTTAAATGAATAATGGATATGGTTGTTTATCTTCATAACCGAAAACGTTAATGTTAATTCTGTTTTGCTTTTCGATTTTATTATAATGTTTAACCGTCACTGGAAAATCAACCCCTTCATAATTAAGCTTTTCAATATATTCTTTATCAGATTTTTTAATTCTATGTGCGCCTTTATTTTGTGGGTTAATATGTCTAATATGGCACCATCTAAAGCATTCATTATCTCTATTTTTGATATTAATTAATCCTTTTTTAGAGTTTTTAATCTCTTTTGGTAAATTAATGTATGAAGATCCTTGTAATGGCTTGTATTTAACAACATTAAGATAATGATTATCTATAGAGCGAATAGCCCATGCAGAACCTTCTTGTTTAAATTTACCAATATTATTTAATATATTTTGTTTTGAAATTTGTAGTGATTCAGTATTATTTTCATTATTTGTAATTGTTAAAGCTTGACTGTTGAAATAAGCTGTTTTTGTTAAATGATCAACATCACCGTTATATTTTATTTTAAATTTTTCAAATGTTACCTCAAGCGTTTCAATAAATTTTAATCCTTTCATTGTTGTTAATATTTCTTTAATATAATATGTAAGATACTTTCTTGTGCTCTGCATTTGTATTAATGGTATTTTAATGTCCATAATACTTATTCTATATGACTTTGTATAACCTTTA